GCTGGCGAGAGAGGCACCAGCACCGGTGGGAACCGTGGAAGGCCTGAGGCCTGAGAAGCGGCTGAAACACTGCCAGACATCCACGCCGACGCCGCCCGCCTGCTGACCTGGGTAAGGGAGGGGTAAGGGAGCCCTCTGTGCTCCACCATGGTGTTAGGAGCGGCTGATGGTGAGGCGTAGCTGCCCACGGGGCACTCCTAATGGCAAGTTCCCCCCCGCCTTCCCCCTCAATTTTGCTTGTTTTAAACTAGGCCTAAATTTGGGGGGAGGGGCTTAATTTCATTTTATGCCTAGAAAACATACTGGGTCTTCCTATTGGGGGGGCGTATTGTTGGAGAAACACTGTATTCATTTTGAACATTAAAAATGGGATGCAGACAATAGGTTACCCACTCAAACAGTAGTAGATAGCCTGATTATTCAGAAGGTTTTCAAAGTTCTGTGGCTAGATTGTTGACTTTTGGATTATGTCCTTGTTCATGATGGTCCTCTAGAGGTTCTTAAGCACAATAAAAATGTTGATTATGACCTATAAAGAAGATACATTGTTCTCAAATATTAGATGAGAGACCTTTATCAGCCCTGCTACCATGGGAAACATGTTTGATAGAAAAACAAGAGAGGTTTCCTGTATGACTGTTCCTAATTTTCATTTCATTTTAATTTTAATTTTCCAGCAAGGAATGCTTTGATTCTAGCAGACCTAAGGGGAGGGAGGTGGTTGATTGGTTATCAATATTGTCTTCATGATACCTGAATGGTGTTTATAATTTTAAAACAAGGCTTTTCAATTGCCACAAGCATCAATGGTTGGAAAGTTGAGGTATAACTAAGTAAAGAAAACGAACTGCCCAGGGAGGCATGGAAAAAACTCCTTGAAACATGAATATGAGTAAAATACAAAACAGAAAATCAATACAGTAAAAATATACATCCAACAATAACAACAACAACAAAGAAAAACAATGTGTAGATAAAAAGAAAAATGATCCAAACATCCAACATTAAACATATAACAAAATCCACCCTAGCTGGATGCTGAAAATAAAAATAAAAAACCCTAATAAATTCTCCTCCCCTCACATAATGGGCCATAAAAAGTTATAAATTTTCTCACCCTTATTTAACAATAAAATATATATAAACAAATATTTATCTCTATCTAATAAATGAATCAACCCTACATCTAATATATATAAAAATAAAATAAAAAATAGTCAAAAAATTAGTCCAAATGTTATACTAGCCTTCAAATTCCTGTTAATCATCTGTTATTGTATTTAACACATAGAAAGTCCACAACGGCTTCTAGTCTCTTATACAGCTGTCTATTAAGGCCACCTCTGCTAATTCATTCTGTTTTAAAACCCATTCTTCAACAGTTGATATCTCCTTTCCTTTCCAGATGTTAACTTTGATGGGATAATGTTTAATAGGATAAACTTGAGATAATAACGTTAACATGTGGTATGATTCCAAAGTGAATTTTCCAGCCTTCATGCTATTTCTGAACATCTTTATATTTGCAGATATGGAATCTTTATTGCTGTCTCTTGGACAAATGTAAATCAGTCAGGATTCACCTGTGTTTTATTTTGTTGCAGAGGTGTGGCAAACTACAGTAACTTAGTGCTGCAATTTAATTAATGAAGGAAAATAGTTCTGCCTTAAAGATTCAGGCAAAGTTGATCCACACTGATAAAACACTTTGCTTGATGTCAGGTTCTGGCATGTGAGCAGCAAATATCCATCAAAGTTCTAATTCTTTGTTCTAATTCAGCAAAGAAAAGTATTTCCTAAAGATCTGCACATCTAATCTAACCTTACTTTCTTATTAGATATTCAAACCTTTAATTTCTTACTCAGTCCCTGAGGAACTAATGTATAGAAATCTTGGTTAATAAACTCATTTGAGTTGAGTTTGCTATATGGAGCAAAATAGGTGTGGTGGTTAAGTTGTTGACTATGACTGAGAATAGAATGGGAACAATTGGCTGTGAGTGCCTGGCTATGCCCACTCCACTGACTGTGAGATGCACATACCTCTTGATTGCAGCAGGGTAGAAGTTTGATAGACAAATAACTAAATAAATAATGTATATGTTTTCATGTATAATTTACCAATACCAAGATTATATCAGCCTAATAGGAGGTGCAGTGGCACAGTGGTTTAGAGCAGTGGTCGCCAACTGGTGGGTCGGGGACCACTGGTGGTCCACAAGAAAATTTTGGTGGTCCACAGAGAAATGTCACCCCCAGAGCACCCCCCAAAGTAATTAATCCAGGCTGCACAGGAACACAAGGCTGTGCCACCCACGCCTTGGGCCTGCGGGAACCCTCCCCGCCCATTCACTCCTTACCTGGCAAACTTGCCTGCTAAGTTGCTATTTTTCCTTTTTTCCCCCCCCCTGACCACCAGCTGTTCTCTGTGCCGAGAGATTTAGATTAGCTAGAAAGCAAGAAATCGCAGATCTGAGCCTGAAGCTTCTATTATTCAGTGCAGACTCAGGTAGCCGATTGCAGAAACACAGATCTCTAAGTGAATCTGTGATTCTGGGAGCAACTCAATCTGCCTACCTGCTCTGCCTGATTTTGGGTAAAAGTTGCTCTTTTTTAAATAAAAAATTCAATATTTACATACATGGTGTGTTGTGAGTTAATTTTGTGAGTTTGCTTGCTAGCAAATTTTATGGATTTGCTTACAAGCAAATTTTATGTGACAGACTCAGGTAGCTAATGGCAGAATGGTAGATCTCTGAGTGAATCTGTGATTCTGTGAGTAATTCAATCTGCCTGCCTGGTTTGCCTGATTTTGGGTAAAAGTTGCTGTAATGACCCAGGGTGGGTTACAAAACAAACACAATCACAAAAAACAGGTGAAGCCCCTTTTATTCCTTCCGTTTGCTTCCAAGCTCTGAATATCTTTGATGGAAGACAAAAAAAAAAAAAAAACTCCCACACAGTAACACGAAGAAGGAAAAAAGCAACACAAAAGAGAGGAACTATAAGCTAGAGATATTTACACGATTTGTTTCCAGCATTTGCCAGTACGCAGGTCCAAACTCTTATTCAGTTGTCACACCTGCAGCCCATGAAGAGGATCAAGGCCCTCTCCTCCCGAGGAGACCACATCTCTCCCTTATCCTCTCCTCCCTGCGTGCCCTAGGATGGATAGGGGATGGGCCTGGGTCCTCCTCTGACTGCTCAGCTGGCCTCTGCCCTTCCCCAGTTTCCTCTACAACTTCTGGAGCCACACTTCCACTCTCTGTCGGCTGTTCCTCCTCTCCCCCAGAATCAGTCTCCACTAAGTCTCCTCTTTTTTAAATAAAAAATTCAAAATATTTATAATATTTACATACAAACTATGCCCAGACAGTCACATAACCACCAAGCCGCACCCACAAATTAGGTCATGCCCACAGAACCCCAGACAGTCACATAACCACCAAGCCACACCCACAAATTAGGTCATGCCCACAGAACCAGTTGTTAAGAAATTTGAATCCCACCCCTGCCTGTATGTGTGTGTGTGTGTGAGAGAGAGAGAGAGAGAGAGAGAGGGTGTCCCCATTCTCTCTCTCTCTCTCTCTCTCTCTCTCTCTCTCTCTCTCTCTCTCTCTCTCCCTCCCTCCCTCCCTCCCTCCCTCCCTCCCTCCCCCCCTCTCTTTTTTTCTCTCTTCCACCAACGTCAGCAAGCCACCATCACTCAAAATTCATATTAGTGGTCCCTGGGATTTAAAATTATGAGTTTGGTGGTCCCTGAGATCCAAAAGGTTGGCGATCCCTGGTTTAGAGTGCAGTACTGCAGGTTACTTCTGCTGACTGCCGGCTGCCTGAAATTTGGCAGATCGAATCTCACCAGGTTCAAGGTTGACTCAGCCTTCCATCCTTCCGAGGTGGGTAAAATGAGGAGCCAAAATTGTTGGGGGCAATATGCTGACTCTGTAAACTGCTTAGAGTGGGCTGTAAAGCACTGTAAAGTGGTATATAAGTCTAAGTGCTATTGCTATTAGAAGTAAATCATGATCCCCCAGATTTATTTCAAGCACCACTATTGAATGGATTGCTTCATACAGCCACAGGACCAGCCTTTCCCAAGGCGGTGCCCTGTTGGATTAGCTTCCATTATCCTTCACCAGCGAATAGCATAAAAGCGAAAAGTGTCACTGAGAAAGGCTTCATTGACAAGGATGAGTGAAGATGAATAGATATTGAGAATAATAGTTATAATTATTGTATGTATAAGCTTTATTATTGGTATATAATTAAGAATGTAGTAGAGATTGCACCCAGACGGCATACTGTTACTGTGAAAAACGAATTCCTATATATAACCAAGAAAATTGTACATTTGAAAGTATTAATATGTGATGTATAACAAAGGAAAAGTACAATAAAAATATTTGAAAAAAAAAGAAAGGCATCATTGACTACTAGGATCATAATCTGTGTGAGGACCTAGCGTGTATTCAGGCAGAAGTTTTGCAATAGCCATCTCATGGATCCAATTCAAAGTGATTACAGGACTGTGAGACATGCTTTCACTGGCTCCCATGCTCTGATTCTAGTAATAACATCAAAATACTTGGGTATTTGGAAAAAGTCATGAAAAATATCATTTTCCCCTATGTTACTAAATTGTATCCATTCATTGGACACCGAAACCTATAGGACCGTGATGGCGAACCTATGGCATGCATGCAGAGCCATTTCTGCCGGCACACAAGAGGTTGCCCAGAAGAATCCCACTGCGCATGAACGTGTGCCCCCCCACTAACCAGCTGATTTTCAGGTATTTGCTGTGCATGCACTGGGGGAGATGCATGTGACGTGCATGCACGGGGGATGCATTGGGGGGGTTGCACGCACATATGCAGAGGTGTGTGGCGCGGGGGGGGGTCATATGCACATACGCAGAGGTGTGCAGTGTACACGCAGGGGGCAGGCGTGCATGTGCAGGGGTCGCACATGCATTGCATCATGTGTGCAGGCATGTGAGAGGGCGAGCGCGCACTTTCAGCATGCAACGTGGAAAAGGTTAGTCATCACATTTCAATGTCCACCCTTTGAAACAAAATATGCATGAAGAAAAGTTATTGTAATTATTTAGAGTATAGAATCAGAGCCATGATAATCTAAGAGTAAAATCTTTTCTCGAGTATAAAGCTTCCTGAGTGACCTTTGGCCAGTTATTATCCATAGTTTCACTGAGAAATTGTGAGGATTGCTGGAGAAATGGTTGTTGAAGATGACAGAACTAGTGGAAATGGCAAAATTAACTTGTTTGATTAATGAATGATTAACAGGTACGTTTATTTGTGACTGGAAATCTCTTATGGACTTTCCACAAATGAGAAAAATTAATTTGTGATTTGTGGGTTTGAAAGGAAGCTTACAGAAAGTAGGAAATTATGATTTAACCTGAGAGAGAGTATGTAAAATTGCTTCCTGCGAGCATGGAGAGCACAGGATGTAACAACCTCTTTCCTCAACTATGACCACAAATAGTCTCTTCAAAAACTTCAAAACCAGTGGTGGGATTCAATTTTTTTTTACTACCAGTTCTGTGGGCGTGGCTTGGTGGGCGTGGCAGGGAAAGGATACTGTAAAATCTCCAGTCAGCGGTGTATTTGCCGGTTCTCCGAACTACTCAAAATTTCCGCTACCGGTTCTCCAGAACTGGTCAGAACCTGCTGAATACCACCTCTGTTCAAAACCCAAAAAAAGTACACAATTGCACCGACAGGAAAACGAGTGAATGGAGAAAACACTGGACTTAGAGAGACAAGAAGACTTTGCAATGAACAATGAATTACTCTGGGGTGTTCAGCTGAGTAGTGTTGTTGTCAGCACTCTGTTGGGAAGAGAAGATCCCTCCTCAATATTTCACCTAATGAGTCCTTGCTCTGAGTCCAGAATTTGCACTCGAAATGTCCATTCTAGTGGTGGATAGTTTTTATAGCTTGCTGCTCATGCAGGAGATGAGGAGTAAGAGGAAAGCTACTTAAATAAATGAAATAGTTTATTTACCAGCAAAAAGACAAAATAAAATTTGACCTTGAGTTTATGAACAAAAGTTTACAAATCTTCCCAACCTATTTACATTCTATCAGAAAAATACTGTATATCTGTTTGTGGGTCTTTCACTATAGGAAACAAGATTAGTGGTAAACTTTGTCTGCCTTGGCTTCCCAAAATCTGGGGCTTTGCAGATATGTTGAACTTCAGTTTCTGTAATCTGACAGTCAGCATTCCATTGGTTATACCAATTCCATTGGTTATGGAATTATGGAATATCTTCATAGACCTATGATGGCGAACCTATGGCACGCATGCCACAAGTGGCATGCAGAGCAATTTGTGCTGGCACATGAGCTGTAGGCAAACTTACCTCACTGCACATGCGCACACCTCCCAGCTGATTTTTTTCGGTTGATTTGAGGCTTTTTTTGGCCTCCCAGAGGAGTAATACCGGAAGTGATGAAACGGGCCTATAATTTGTCCTGAAAAGCCTTGCAGAGGCTTTTTCCAAGCCTCTGAGAGGTTGAAAAAAGCCTCAAACCAGCTGAAAAATCAGCTATGAAGCACAGTGCAGGTAAGGGGGTAGGATGGTTGCGAGCACAGGGGCATGGGGAGGGGGGCGTGCATTGTATTCTGGGTGCCGGCATGCGAGTGCGTACATGCTAGAGCATGCGCAATTTTTGGCACAGGAGCCCAAAAAGGTTAGTCACTACTGTCATAGACCCTGGAGATGACCAGACTGGAGAAACTTTATAGCAATGTATTTTACATATCTTGACTGCCATCTTGTGGTAGTATAGCAGTATAATTTGTTTTCATGATGACATACAGAATAAAATGCAGGATTTGTTAAAAGACAGGAAACTCATTTATTAATGAGGAGATTATAGCTTGCTTAATTGTCCTAAGGAACTGTTTAGATAAAGCTGAAGTTATTGGAGAGGAGATAAGCTAACAAATGTGTTTAATACTCACTCTTTCCCTGATAATACCAGGAACAACATTTTAAAAGGAATATTACTAATAGACTCAAATATGCTCAATAGAAATTAGTCTACGCTGCATCATAGAACCTCTTCTTGACATTGCTCAACAACCAAGATAGTTTTCTCAGATGCAAGTTACAATTAGTATGATCCATTCTGGATTCCATTCATATTACAGAATAATTGGATATCCAATTCTCCACTTGTATGTAATGCAATCTCTTTCCTACGTCTACTCTCTTGTCTGTGTTGTATACAACACTTTTGTTCTATAGTTATTTCAATTTTAAAAAAAAATGACTGAAGCCATCACTCTTGTCCTAGGTGATGTTTTCTTTCTCCCCATTTCGCCAGTTCAGACACAGACTCCAGAGAGTAATTAGGAAGGCAGAAAAAACAATTACTACCAAGCTGCCTTCCATTGAAGACCTGTATATTGCATGAGTCAAAAAGAGGGCTGTGAAAATATTTACAGACCCCTCACATCCTGGACATAAACTGTTTCAATTCCTACCCTTAAAAGAACGCTATAGAGCACTGCACACCAAAACAATTAGACACAAGGACAGTTTTTCCCCGAATGCCATCACTCTGCTAAACAAATAATTCCCTCAACACTGTCCAACTATTTACGAAGTCTGCACTACTATTACTATTAATCTTCTCATCACTCCTTATCACCCATCCCCTCCCACTTATGACTGTATGACTGTAACTTTGTCTCTTGTATCCTTACGATTTATATTGACTGTTTCCTAGTACGATTTGATTGCTTAGTGTACCCCATGACTATTATTAAGTGTTGCACTTGATGATTATTGACTCTTGATGAATGTATATTTTCTTTTATGTACACTGAGAGCATTTGCACCAAGACAAATTCTTTGTGTGTCCAATCACACTTGACCAATAAAGAATTCTATTCTATTCTATTCTATTCTATTCTATTCTATTCTATTCTATTCTATTCTATTCTATTCTATTCTATTCTTGTTAAGCGAATCTGGCTTCCCCATAGACTTTGCTGGTCAGAAGGTTGCAAAAGGTGATCACATGACCACGGGACACTGCAACCATCGTAAATATGAATCATAAATATGAGTCAGTTGTCAAGCATCTGAATTTTGATCACATGACTATGGGGATAATGCAACAGTCATAAGTGTAAAGCACAGTCAGAAGTCACTTTTTCCACTGCCGTTGTAACTTGGAACGGTTCCTAAACAATTTGCTGTAAGTTGAGGACAACCTGTACTTTGGAAGTAGCCAGTTATGCATCTCCCAAACACACCAAATTACAATAGGAAAATGGCATTTTAAAAAAATATTAAGTCTGCCTCTTTATTTGGTGGTGTAAGCCATGTCCTAAAATAGATGCATTAAACCTTTAAGACATTTAATGCATTTATTTTTTTTCCCTCCAAGTAGCCAAATTTAAAACAAAAGTATATTTTAAATTAAAGCTAAATGCTATTCTATTACAGTTAAAATGAAATGGTGTGTGTATTTATATAGATAGACAGTTGAGACAAACTTTTGGAGAATTTTCAGGGAAATGCAACTCTGCTTAGCCACTTGATGTCACTGTTGCGACAAGTTCTCTGATCTTCTAAAAATAAACAGGAAAGAATTATCTCTCATTTATAATGACACTTGTATTAATAAGAACTTGAATGAAACATTCTCAGTCTTATCTCTATTCGTAACCATTTTAAGAATAAATTGGCCCTGTTTAAAGCAATTCTCATCCCATCTTGGCTTTTTAAAATGATTCAAGTGCTTGTGAAACCTAGCACTTCTTAGGTTCCATTTTATTAAATGTTTTGGAAATGCCAGATTTTGTTGGAAAAATGTTCACGAAGCTGCTTGCCAGAAGTTTATTTTTTTTTGGTCCTGCAAAATCCTTGTATAGATCCAATTGAATACCACTTCAGATATGTGACATCTGGTCAGTTTTGATTCCCGATTGTTGTGGTCTATCAGAATAGTTATAATTCAATGATTAGAATTTACTTTTTCATAATAATTATATTAAAATACCACTTCCTTAATAGTTCTGCAGAGTTAATCCAGTTGCTCAAACAATAACGAAGGAGATCAATTCTACCTTCCCCTCCACTGATAAACATTTTACCCAATATGCTTTGCAGTGCAGATCAGAGGTGGTATTCAGCTGGTTCTGACCAGTTGTGGAGAAACGATAGCGGACATTTTGAGAGAACCAGCAAATACCACCTCTGACTGGCCCCGCCCCCATCTATTCTCTGCCTCCCGAGTCCCAGCTGATCGGCTGGGTCTTCTTTTGTTGCCCTGCACAGGAGAGCGGAGCTGGAAAGCAGATTATTGGGGTAGGGAGGGAATGGGATTTTGCAGTAACCTTCCCTCAGGAGTGAGGAGGGAATGGAGATTTTGCAGTATCCTTCCCCTGCCATGCCCATCAAACCACTCCCACAGAACTGGTAGTAAAGATTTTTGAATCCCATGACTGGTGCAGATCTTTCACCAATTTTGGAAAGTCCAAGTGCATTTAACTTGTGAAAATGTTCCCTGTTCAAAACTATGCAGAACAGTCTCAATTGCAAAAAGTTATCTCAAACTTGTAGATGAGAATTGGGGAAAGGGAGGGAGGGGTATGCAAGTATTCACATCTCTGTTTCTACCCATTACATCACTAATTTGAATGCCGCCATTTGCTTATACCAATTCAAGATTCAGTTTAAAATAAAATTTTATCTCAAAATGGATAACAGTATATCTAAATCAAGGTTGATAAGTGCACAGACTGTGATTCGTATGTCTATCCCACCTGACACCTCTGAATCATTAATATTTGGCTGAGAATTATAGCCCAATTATATTTGGAAGGAGAAAGTTACGAAAGGTCCCTTTGGATTACAATAGAAGGTGAGGAATAGTTGGAAATAGAATACAGGTAGTCCTCGACTTACAACATTTCATTTAGTGACTGTTCAAAATTACAACAGCACTGAAAAAAGTGACTTATGACCATTTTTCACACGACTTTTGTAGCAGTCCCATGATCATGTGATAAAAATGTAGACACTTGGCAGTTGGTTCATACTTATGACCGTTCCTGTGTCCCAAGGTCACATGATTACCGTTTTGACAAGCAAAATCAATGTGGAATTTCACTTCACAACTGTGATTTACCCAGATGTCTGACTTTTGTTTTGGGCTCAATTGTAATTGTAAGTCGAGGACTACCTGTATTAGAAACAGATATGTTAACTATGGCGAAGTTCCTTCCTTCACTGGAAAATTCTTGTGGTTTAATATTTTTTCCTAAATTCAGACATGTCCTAATGGCATATGTAATTCATTATTTTAACCATATTTGTGCTTTGAGTAAAAAGTGTTTGACAGTGATGCTGATGATTAGATGCTGGATTTACTCTTGTTTTTAGAAATTCCAATTTTTTTAAAAAAATAAACTCTTATCTGCCACCAATCAGATTCTTTTCTTCTTTGATTACGATATAGCAATAGCACTTAGACTTATCTCCATAGTGTTTTACATCACTCTCTGAGCAGTTTATAGTAACAGCATATTGCCCCCAACAATCTGGGTCCTCTTTATATAGATACACCTATAAAGTCTATTAATTAATCCTACTCTTTCTATAATTGACATTTTCAGAAATGTTCAAATATGTTATCCATCTTGTTGTCCATAATAGGAAATTCACTCTATAATGCAATTTGAGATTGCAAAATGTTGCTCCATCTCTTTCTTTTGAGTCTCCCTCAGTCTAAATCTGTTTATTGCTCTTTGTCAGTCCTGCATATTTTTGTCTGAAATTCAAATTGATGCTGTTTGGAATAACAGCGTAGTATATTCATTTTTATTATCCTAACCAAGGAAGTTTTATTTTTTTCCACGTTTCAAGCTTTTGTTTTATTTCTTTCTATTATTTGTTGTAATTATTTTGAAGCGTATATTCATTGCTTCTTTATCAAGTGGAGTCCGAGATATTTCACTGAATCTTTTGCTATTTCACAGCCATTTTGCTTTTCACAATCTTGAATGCTTAAATGCTTTGCTGTTATCTTAGTTTTCTTTTCATTGATGTTAAGAAAAGCAGCCGAAGTCTTTGATTACACGAATGAACTGTCATATAGAGCGTTATGGTTGTTAAATTGTTAATACTATCTCATAGTATTTTATCTTGTATTCCTCTCATTGAATTTTAATCCTGATTGTTTGTGTATCTTTTTGGGTCTTGTTTGCTAGAAATCCTTTATAAACTTTACTATTGACATATACTTTTCATCCCTTCTTCTCTAGGATTTATTTTGTCTAGAATAGGGGTGTCAAACTGGCAGCCCAAGGGCCAGATGTGTCAAGCGGAGGCCACACCCGACCCAGCTCCACGAAGGGGGAAAAATATCATGAAATGTCACATGATGGCAATGTGACACTGTGAGTTTGACACTTGTGGTCTTCAAATAGAAATATTCTTTCCAAGTTGTCAAAGGCTTTTTCCACACCTAAAATATCACCACTACTTTTTATCTTTTTTATCACCACTACTTTTCATGTTCCAGAAACCAAGAAAAAGGTGCAGAGTTACTTTTAAGTAGTTTCCTTTATTGTTCTTACCTATAGGCAGAAATCTTGCAAACTAAAGCTACTATCTACATCATTCTGTAAAATTTTAGGGAGGCACAATCTTGACCCTCTTTCTCCCAACTAAACTATCTGGACTTCATTGTGTCTTGATCCTCTGAAATACAGCCACTCTCTCTGGATCTCTAGATCAGGGGTCCCCAACCACCGGGCCCCAGACCGGTACCGGTCCGGGGAACATTTTCTACCGGGCCGCCAGTTTGCTGGGCGCCGCCATCTTGTTTCGATGAGAAAGTGCTTCCGGGTGAGCTTTTCCGGTTGGAAAGCGGTGTTTGGGTCCTGAAGGAATCCTCACGCCTTAGTTTCATCAAGGGGGGGGGGGGGCGGCTTCGAACGAAACTAAGGCGCAAGGATTCTTTCAGCACCCAAGGCAAGGCGAGCCGGGCGACCATCCCGAAGCCGTCCCGAAACCCATCGACAAAGGTACAAAGGAGGAGTTGAAGGTGGCAGGGAGAAGCAGGGGACGGCTGGCTGGCCAGTCG